GTGCATATGTGTATATGCATGCTTTTAGGTGGAAGAGAAAGAAATCAGTACCAGTTTTTGTCAGAGGCCTTTTTTCTAGGGTATAATACACACACTGAAATCTTTGTTCCTGTCACAAAATACGTCACAGTTCTTGCCTAACTTTTTGCTAGTATTCACATTTTTTTTCAAAATCTTTTCCAATTTTTCCAACTTTTTCAATTCCTGATTATAGCAGTGGGAGAGAGAATCAATTAGGTACTAATATATCATTCATACCTGCTAATATTTTGTTTTTAATGTATATCAATATGTTCTATTGTTGTATCACCTGTATTTCCCCATATATCTCTTTCCTCTCCCTTCCAAAGAACCATCCCTTTTAACAAAGGATAAAAATGATTTTTAAAAAATCTTTTGTTTTTCTGTGCAATAAAGCTAACCGACACATCAGTGAAGTCTGATGTTATATGCAGTATGTTCCACACCTTTAGCTTCTTACTTCTATGAAGAAGGGAAGTTCATTTTGCTATTTCTTCTTTGGGGCAAGGCTTTGCTCCTTGTAATTTTGAGGCGTTCTGTTACCTTTTTTTGTTGCTATTGTACGTTCCACTTAAGTGGCTGACATCATTACATGCATTGTTTTTCAGGTTCTGTTTATTTCTCTTTGCATCAGTTTACATATGTTTTCACATGCTTCTCCTTGTATACTGTATTCATTGTATCTCATAGGGCCGTAAGATGTTCATTTACCATAGTTTGGCTAGCTACTCCCTAATCAATGGGCCATTTACTTTCTTTCCAATTTTTTGATCCTAGAACTGTATGTGCATGCATGCATGTGCATGTGTACATATATGTGTGTATATGCATGTGTATAAATACATGCATATTTATATTATGCATAGTTTATATAATTTAAAAAATAATTAGACTGTATTTTGACATTCATTTTTTAAAAATTTGAGCTCCCAATTCTTTCCCCCTAGATCCTCCTGTACCCATTGAGAAGTTAAGCAACAAATCAGTTATACAAGTGAAGTCATACAAAACACATATGCACGTTAGCCACGCTGCCAAAAAAACCCCCACAAAAGCAAGAAGAATAGAGGGAAAAAAGTGTGCTTTGATCTGCACTCATCTGCATTTGTTGGTTCTCTTTCTGGATGCAGACAGCATCTTTTCCTCATGAATCCTTAACTGTCCAGGATCATTGCATTGATAGGAGTATCCAAGTCGATACTATTTTAGAAAGAAGTATGTGCTTTAGGTTGGTGTGCTGCCAGATTGCAGGAACCACTTGAACCCACTTCAAGGTTTGCTTTGTATCTGTGAATCCAGAGTTTCCTATCTGTCTGAAGATAGAACAAAACAAACAAACAAAACCAAACAGGAGCTAGGATAATTAGGGTTATGGAAAAGACAGTCAAGTGCCCAAAGATCATGTGATGAGGAAATCACACCATTTGGGTCTTGTGAAATCAGTAGGAAGTTATCTTGAGCAAATGCCAGGCACATGGAGAAATAAACCAGTCACATTCAGATCCACAGCTGCACCAAGCACAGTTGAGACACTAAAGTAAGCTTTCATATTATAGTTATTGGATAAAAATATGCCTAGTTTGGGAATATACAGACTTAAACCAGGAAAATGAATGCGTCTACAGCCTGCTTGCAGGGTCAAGATTTTGAACTCCCTACTTTGTCTCTCCCTGAGATGCTGGGCATGCTATGTTGTGCCCTTCTGACCATTTAGATGTTTTCCTTACTGACTAGCCTTTCTCCGACTAGCACCTTGGTGCCCACTAGGTTATAGATTCTCAGGTTATGATTTCTCCAGTCCATTTGGAGACATCTTTGGCCCCCTGTTCTCACCCACACACAATTTCACAGATCATTTCTATGGACCTAGCTAGGTATCTAGTTGTTATAGTACCTGCTATATCCTGGATATAGTATGTCCACTATATAGTACCAGACCTGAAGTCAGGAAGACCTGAGTTGAAACCCTGCCTCAAACACTTACCATTGTTTGACTGAGGGCAAGTTACTTCATCCCTGTTTGCCTCAGTTTCCTCTTCTATAAAATGGGGCTGGGGCAGCTAGGTGGCACAGTGAGTAGAGCTCTGTCCTTGGAGTCAGGAGGACCTGAGTTCAAATCCAGCCTCAGACACTTCACACTTACTAGCTGTGTGACCCTGGGCAAGTCACTTAACCCCAATCACCTCACCAAAAAGCAAAAACAAGCAAACAAATAAATAAATAAATACAGTGATAAAATGGGGCTGATAATAGCATCTCCCTCACAGAGTTGTCATGGGACTCAAATGAAATAAAACTTGTAATGAACAAACCTTAAAGCATTGTATCAATACCAGCTGTTAATAACATTATTGTTATTATTATTATTAATTGTTTTCCTTAATAGTATTTTATTTTTCCAATTACATGTAAAGATAATTTTCAACATTCACTTTTATAAGATTTTGAGTTCCAATTTTTTTCTCCCTCCTCTCACCCCTTCCCAAAACAGCATGCAGTCTGATATAGGCTATACATGTACAATCATATTAAACATATTTCCACATTAGTCATGTTGTGAAAGAAGAATCAGAACAGAAGGGAAAAACCAGGAAAAAGAAAAAAAAAAGAAAATAGTATGCTTCAATCTTCATTCAGACTCCATAGTTCTTTTCTCTGGATGTGGATAGCATATTCATCTTGAGTCTTTTGGAATTGTCTTAGATCATTGTATTGCTGAGAAGATCTAAATCTCTCAGAGTTGGTCATCGCACAGTTTTGCTGTTACTATGTACAATAATAACATTATTATTAGCGGGACTAAATATTCCCAGTAAAACCATTGTCTATCCATTAGACAAAGCCTGTCTATAAAACGAACAGCTAGAAATACTGTGGGTAGAAAATAATTGATTTCTTTGTGGATACTCAAAAAAATGTGATACCCCATGCTTTAAAATATGCCCCATCCCTGCCTGTACAACTGGGACCTCACTGGCCATTCCATAGTATCTTTCTGACTATAGCATCAGATATGGGAAGCCAGTCAGATGTGCCTGGGTTGAGAACCCACCTCCTCCGTCCAAAATCCACGGCTCTTACCTCTGCATTATCAGACCAGCCTGTGGTGGAAGTGGTGAAGGACCGTGACATCACATACATTGACCAGTAAGAGTAATGAGAACTGGGTGTGTCGGGTCTGAGGATGGACACTTTAGGGACCTTGAGTGACAACTTCCCCTCCTTGCTGTGGTCTGAAAAGCATTGTATCTGAGGAAGGTTCAGTGACCAGGGAGGACCTGGTTTGTATACTTCCCTTCCAACAGTTGAGATCTGAACATTTGCTGTACCCTGTCCTTGCCCAACTTGACATTTTTTTTTCTCCACATCTGTCTCATTTTAGGCTAGAAACCTTACTTTTATGGGTTATATAGCATTTCATATTAAAGTCAGATAACTTTCCACATTAGTGACCTACTTGACTTTTTCATGAAATTTCCCAAGCAGCTGTTACAGACTAGGTAATGGATTAGTCAGAAAGAAAATATATATGTGTGTGTGTGTGTGTGTGTGTGTGTGTGTGTGTGTGAGAGAGAGAGAGAGAGAGAGAGTGAGAGAGAGAGAGAGAGAGAGAGAGAGTGTGTGTGTGTGTGTGTGTGTGTGTGTGTGTGTACATACACCATAATTCCAGCCTGAAGTCACTAAGTCTTATAGTATGCTAGTGAAAGTTTGTGTTGAATCAACTAAACAAATAAATAATAGAATTTATTTTGTGCTTACTATATTCCAGTGACTATGTAAAAACTACATTGCCCTTGTTCAGTCAGTCAGTAAGCATTTAATAAGTACCTACTATATGCCAGGCATTGATAAGTTCTGGGAACACAGAGAAAGGCAACAGCACCTGTATAGTCCCTGTACTTAAGAAGCTCATAATCTGAAGGGGGGGTGGTGGTGGATAACAGTGTGAAAACAAATATGTACAAATAGGATATTATGCAGGATAAATTAGAGATGATCATTCAAGGCACAAGCATGAAGCAAGATCAGGAAAGGCTTTTTTTAGAAAATAGGATTTTATCTGGGACTTGAAGGAAGCCAGAGAAAGCCTGGAGATGGAGATGAAGAGGGAAGAATATTCCAGGTATGGAGGACAGGAAGTCTAGAGATGGAGCTTCAGGAACTACATGTGCATGTGCATGAGCGTGTGTGTGCGTGTGTGTGTGTGTGTGTCCTATAGCCGTGATGGTTCTTTGTAAACTTTCACATAACTTACTACTGTCCTGTGACTTAGAACTATACAACAGTTTTATAGGAGGCGTTTTGTCACGTGTAGAGAGAAAGCCTGGCATAATATTGTGTCTTCTGGGCTCAGATAACCATGTAATTACTCTGTAATCATATAGTAATTAGCATGTACTATATGCATTTATTACATAATTACATTTCTGGAAGATTGCATGGCAATTATACTCTCATTCATTCAGCTTATCATTTTATATACTGTATAATGAACAGTCTGTAATTTGTTGCTTTTGATTTTATCACAGTTTCAGTTTACAAACCAGGAGTTGCCAACTTCCTCTACTCTTTTTCCCCTTGTTGGTTAGATTCTGACTCTAGTTCTGTGATAGGACTCTAAGTTTCTTTTGTCTGGGGGCAGCAGAGTAAGGAAGGGTGGGGTGCACTGACCCAACATGCCTGGGTTGGGTCAGTCCCATTTGGTACATTGCAATTGCAAAGTCTTTCGATCTAGCCCAATACAGTAAAATGACCATCTTTTAAAATCACCCTCGGTTGCCAGTATTTATATTCCTAACACTTCCTCTTTGTCATTAAGTTATTAAGTTATTAGCCTGGGAAAAAGAAAGGTTGATCCGAGTTTTCAGCATTTCCAAAGAAAGGGCAAGATCCCAATTAAAATGAAGTAGGCATAAACAGAAAACCTCAAGTACAATCATGGCCATTTTTTTCCTTTCTTTCTTCTCTTCCTTTTCCAGTGGAGACTATTTCAAAGGGGAACAACTGCCTGGATGCTGCTAAAGCCTGCAACCTCAATGACACCTGCAAGAAGTACCGATCAGCGTACATCACCCCTTGCACCACCAGCCTGACCAATGAAGTCTGCAACAGGAGGAAGTGCCACAAGGCCCTGCGGCAGTTTTTTGACAAGGTTCCCCCCAAGCATAGCTATGGGATGCTCTTCTGCTCCTGCCAAGACATAGCCTGCACAGAGAGAAGACGGCAGACCATTGTGCCTCTGTGTTCTTATGAGGAAAAGGAGAAGCCAAACTGTTTGAATTTGCAGGATTCCTGCAAGACGAATTACATCTGCAGGTAAGAGAGCTGGCAGTGGGGTGATTAATGAGGTGGCCTAGAAAACCTTTGGCGCTACTCACATGGCTGAGGTTCAGTTTTCAGTATTTCCACCGAGGTATGGGGCAGTCAGAGGGAAGAAAGAAACCCAAAACACTTATTTGCTGTCTAATAGAATTTAAAAAAGAAAGAAAGAAAGAAAGAAACAGCTTGTGGTTCTAGCACATGTTTCTCTAGAAACCTTTTGCATTCACATATTGAGAATTTCTGAAGCATCAGGAACAAACAAACATAGAGAACAGCTTCATTAGCAAAATTAAAAGGAAATGTGTCTTTTTTCTGGGCTTCCCTGAAATCGTCGTTTTTAATAAGAGTGTCTTGTTACCTGGAGAGTGGAGAGGGCAAAAGTACTTTTGAATTTCCTCACTGATGCTATGGAAAACATTTTGAGCATTGAATCTTTGCCAATGGTACCAGGCAAATATATTAAAAGCAAGAGAGAGACCTTTGGCTGACTTAAGAAAGAAATCTTTGACACACACCCTATGTCCTGCCCCTCTCCACCCCATTGGGTGATAAATATTGAAACAGACTAGAAAGAAAAACCGAAATACCTCTATCTCTAGAGAATAGACAGTTGTCTCTCCCAGAATACTTAGCAGATCCCCTAGCCCAAGTTGGGAGACAGAGGGGCTGATGCAGTCCCTTCCAACTTTATGAAGTACAGTATAATGAAATGAGCCCTGAATTTGGTGTCAAAAGAGCTTTGGTTGAAATCTTGTGTGATTTTTGGCTAGTCGTAACTCTTCTAGGGTGTTGGAAATCTGCTTCTCTGTTCATCAGTGTGGTGAGAAGCCTAGGATCTAGCTTGGGACTTTCTTCTTCCAATTTCTTTTCATTCAGTGCATCATCTTGGTCTTTATGTAAAATTAGATGGGATTGGGTGGTAGTTGTGATTTAGATGAACTCTAAAATCTTATTATCTCTGGTTAATTGAACTTTCAGGCACATACATTAATCAGAAATTCCTTTGCATTTTAATTCTCTTTGAAAATCCCTCTAAAATATTATGGGTGTACTGTCTGGTCCTAGTGAGGAGAGTCAACAAACAGAGTCAGAGCTTTCTTTGGTGAGTGAGCTTTTGTTACAGTGGTGCCCATTCTAAAGATAGTGTCTCGTTGTACAAATATGGTATACAGTGAAGATAGAGATGATTGGACAGAAGGTGTACTTGACTCCAGAATATGAATATGCTGAAAGAAAACGAATGTGTGTGTGTGTGTGTGTGTGTGTGTGTGTGTAGCTAAAGCTAATATGAGATACTTTGTTGTGGTTTGTATCCTTGTCCTAAAATCTGAGTATGGAAAAATTCTGATAAATTCAGAGTGAGTTGCATTTCATCCTTTGAAGAGGTTTTTCTACAATGTAATTTCTAGACATTGGCTGCATTGGGACTTATTCTTTCCTTAACTAACTCTGATGGACTTTATTAACTAAGTAAAGTCTGTACACACTTTAGTTACACAATTGTTTCAAAATCTACAGTAAGAGCATATTTATTCTATTTTTAAAAAATAAAGGCAGCTGTGTTGCATGATTCATAAAGTAGGAAGATAAAACATGTGGGAAGACTTTAGTTATTGGTTTGGGGAGAGGACAGGTATGTGAGCAACAATCTTACCCTAGTTTCTAGAATTCCAAATACCCTAGGTCAGTCAGCAGGACCTGCCTGTGGTAGAGCTGTGAATGTTTTGCCAGCCTTGGTATGAAAAAATGATGGGATCTCACCTTGAGTAGCTTGTGGAAGCATAGGCTTTTGACCACTACCAACCCATGAATAACAGACAGATAGTAATTAGAAGACCACAGCTATTGGGGCTATTGGGATTATTGTTTGTCCTTCATTCTTGAAGAGGACCATGACATCTCGAAGGAGATGCTATAACTTGCAGCTGAATTGGATTTAAGTGAGGGAGGGCTGTGCAGAGTTACCAGCCTCTCTTTCTCCCCCAGAGTCATCCAACTCCAGTGGCAAGATATAGGTGAGGATGACCGGAGAAGGACCTCGATGCAGTGAGAGACCTTGGCCTTTTTAAGTTAAGGTCTTTCACATGTCTTAGTTTGTCTGAGGCAATGCCCATTCAGTGATTGAGGCTAGGTAAACATGAGGTGAAGAATGGCCTCTTTTACCTAGTCAAAAAAAAAAATCAGTCAAGGAGAAGAAGACCCTTAGAGTTTCGGGCTCAGGGTTCTGAGCCATCAGAACCCAAACAATGACCCAGTGAGGCTTGGGTGGGGACCCATTGTTGGCCAATCAATGACAGTTGGGAACCAGGAAGGCAATGAAATAAATACCTACAGGAACCAGGATCAGGAAAACATTAGAAAGTTATCTGAGGGGGATTAAAAAGGAAACCTATTCTAAGGGTCCTCTGAAGAACCTCAGATCCAAAAAGACCTTTCTACTCCTCTGTTAGGAGGCTATCTTGAGTATCTTAGGTACCAAATCTCCTAGCTGGAGTAATACTCACTCCGTAAAAGAGCAGTAAGGACAGGATGGGATGGGTTTGGGATATTAGGGCCATAGTTGACATAAGGCATAGCACAACAACCATTTATTAATGTGGGGCAGGTACTGTGCGAGGTGCTGAGGTTACTGAGACAAAAAAGAATCAATCTCTGCCCCCAAGAACTTAGATCCTATTAGGAAAGGCAACATATGTACGACAATTATAGGCAGAATAAATACTTAATCATAACAGTGGTAACAGCTAATATGTATTTTTGTAGCATTTTAAGGCTTGCAATGGGCTTTATATATGTCATCTCATTTGATAAAGTAATGGGACCTGAGATCAGAAGGAACCAGTCAGGAAAGGGCCTCCTCTAGGATGCAATTTTTGAACTGAGCTTTGAAGGAATTTATAAGAAGCAGAGACTAAGAGAGTATATTCAAGGCCTGGGGGACAGCCTATGCAAAAAACAGAGACAGGAGATGAAATATCATGAGTCTAAGAATTCCAGTTTGGCTGGACTATAGAATGTGCGAAGGGGACTTAAAAAGCTAGACAGGTGAGTTGGAGTCTGGTTCTAGAGGCCTTTAAATGTCCAACAGAATTCAGGGGAAGCTCCCTAACCCCTATATACCTTCACTGGGGGTAGCAGACAGGATTTGGAAGCCCCAGACTCATTTGGCTCTTCTTGAAGAACTAGGCTACTCTTTTGTGGACATGTTTTTCTTCCATTATGAAGTCTTAATGAACTTGGGATTTGCTGCCTCCTGGCAGATATCTGTAGTACCCTAGGATATAACCCCCTATATACAGCTCTTTCTTTCTACCCTGAAGTCAGCTTTGGGTTTGCTTCACTCACCAGTTTTCTAGCTGCCACCAGTATATCTACCTTACCAGGGCCTCTGGACTCCTTTCAGGACCTCTTTTACTTCCACCTGTGCCTTGGCTCCCTGGTATTAGCATGCCAACTTCTTGGGTTATTCCAAGTAATTTACTATGAAGCACTATAGGGGAACATTGGGTGAAAGGAGGACAGCAGTTATAAGACAAAGTTAATGGTTTTGCAATCTCCAAAGAGCCTTAGTTCTATTCTCCAGCATGAGCTTCAGGACATTTAACCTTCTCTACTTAGCTTCCTGCTGCCTGAGAAGACCTTGCTCTGAGCCTTAATATTAAATCAGTTCTAGTTCTATTACTGTGGGATTGGCTAATCAGGCCTTCTGTTTCTAGGCCTCTGGAATCTGCTTCTCCATTCCTCACTATAGGGGTGGGGTGTGGAGGTGGGAAGGATTAAGTACCAGTTTTCTCTCACCCTCTCTAATAAATCCATTGTCTTATTCCTTCACTTGCTGTATCCTAGGAAGCCTATCCTGCCTGCTCCCTCCTCTCCCCACAAAAAAAAAAAAACAAAACATAAAAAACCCAAAAAATACAACTTTCTTCTTGGATTCCTAAAGCTATACCCCTGCTCTATCAAAAGCTGTTCATTCTCTCCCCTCATCTGAGGTTTGACTATTTCCCTGAAGGCTAGATCTTTCAGCTCTTTCTGCCATTAATGATCTAGTTATTAACAATCTCCTACCCAATGCCGTACAGTTATAAGCCATTGTGACCTCTCTTCATTCCAGGCCCCTCTGAGCCTAGAACCCCTTATTCCTTTACTTCGTGGTTCCTCATGCTAGGGCAGGGATTGTTAACCTGGAGTCTGCAAACATGGTTTTCTTGTTCTTCTTCAAAATGATTTAATAATTATGCTTCAATATACTTAGTTTCCTTTGTAATCCTATTATCATGACAGAGGGTCCACAGCCATCACTGGAGTCCATAACAACAAAAAAAAAAGGTTAACGACCCATGTAACTTATTCTCTAGTTTTAACTCTGGCAGCCACGTGGGGCTGTCATTGGCTTCCTATTGGCTAACTCTCATGTACCTGACAGTACCTTTATCCAATGTTAAAGCACAGTTATTTCTCCATGCCCCCCCCCATAATGAATCATTGACTCTGCCTTGTACATTCTTCTGGTAGTTAAAACCTAAAGGCTACATGATGCCATAGCAATTACACTAACATATATTTCATGGACATACACCATTATCAATATATTAGTGCCTCCTACACTAATAATCCTACACTACTGTGCCTAAAGGCTTTCCCTAACACGAGTTTACTCTTCAAAATAATGAATTCATTTATTCTGTTAGACTGAGTTAGCACCATGGAGTAGAGAGCAGACTTCTTTCTTCCCAATACCAGACCTGATGCTTGATCCCATTTGAGAAGGTCTCCTTTCCCTTCCCTGCCCAATACTCATCACAATCATGTAACTCTGTGGTGGTTTGTATGGGAAGCTGGGGTAAGGCAGCCTTTGTAGCATTAGCTTCACCATAGATGCCCAACATCAGTATCTGGTACTTAGGACATGGCAATCAGCATGTTGGTCTTAGAGGAAGTTCTTTTTTCAGTTTGATAAACATTTACTAAGCACTTGTTATATGCCAGGCATA